CGTCACATTATAACGTCCCTACGGCTGAAAGGGCGAGCATGTTTGGTGTGACGGGTAATCGAACCCGCGACCCGCAGATTGCGAGTCGAACGCCATGCCAGGTCACCAACCAGTAGGACAGACTAAATACAAAACTTAACGTACTAACAATATACAGTTAATCTTAAGACACACCATACTGGGCTATGCAAAAACTCTAATCCTTACGCCTGATTTATATCAATACATGATTTCCCATTAGCAATCATAGTTTATGTGTTTATAACACAAACTTTTTAACGTTTGATATCAACACTTTTGTACAGATGTATAAGACCCTGGAGCAACTGAATCAATTTAGCTTTATGACAACGAATAGCACTCAGCCATAGAATGACAAAAAAACCTTCTCCGTTCTAAACAAGCTTTTCTAAATTAATTGTACACAAAGTATTTCTGAGCCAATGATTTCATTGGTTACAGAATAACACATGATTCAAACAAAGAACCGCAAACAATAATCCCAACAATATTGCAGTTAATCCCACTTATCATTGCTGGAGTTCCTCTTGTTTTACACAAAGAAAATGATTTCACCAACGTTTTGGTGGTCAATTATTTGCGCTGAATGCTGTAACACGCAAAAACTTAAAATTACTCAGAGCCTGAACGTGAACTAATGGTTAGTGTATCGAATTATTTTGCGCTGAATGCTGTAACACGCAAAAACTTAAAATTACTCAGAGCCTGAACGTGAACTAATGGTTAGGGTATCGGGCTGGATGCATTTTTAGCTGTTGGTGAGTTATAAGAGTTGCAATCAACTCTGTTATTTAGTTAAATGAAGCTGCTTTAAATGCCGGGATTCTCCGACTTTTCCTTTGATCTGCAATTCAAAATTTAGGACAGCTATGTTCGATCTATAAAGGTCATTGACCTCACTGTCCAGACAATGTGTGTGTATAGAAGAAGTCAAGTAAACAGAGAAACATAAAATTACCCCACGTGATGTGCTATGTAGACCAACTATTAGTAAACGGAATAAAAACAAGTTGATAAGGAAAGCTCCATCAGCATCACAGTAACAAGGAAAGCTGTCCCAGCGTTTTGTGTTAATTTTCTGAAACATTAATATATTTCACGTGAATTCTTGTATATATTATTTTGTTTCAGAACTGCAACTGTGAAAGGATATTTCTAATTGAGAGAAGATGAAAAAAAAAAGTATAAGATGGTACATTTAGGAATGAAATCGACTCACCTTCATCTTTGGCTCATATAATAGCGCATATTCCAGTACATGGTATCACGCTGTATTCTCGAAATAACTCAGTAATCTAGTCTCACAAACTCTACCATGGTTGTATTAAAAAAAAATCACCAATAACAAAGATCCAGTTGTTCGGTTAAAAACTGCATACACATAAACTAACAGGAGATTTGTGACACGAACAGCATGGCCGCCAACCCTGAGTTGAACGTAAAAGTTCCAGCAGGAACGACTGACTTGTGCTACAACGGGTTTAGTAAAACAGTTCAACATTACTCATGACACGGGATTTGAAATGTTTCGTAGAAGTTTGGCTTGCTTCATAAATTTTATGTCACTGGTGCACGATGTGTCTGAAACTCGTCATGTAACCAGTTTGTCGCTGATGTATATAATTCAAATATGGATTTAAATCATTTTCCAGTTACGCGTAGATTTTTTTTTTTAAATATACTGAGTCAAACGTTATCTAAAGGAAATATTTTGTTTTTAATGACTGATACGTGAATCATGGTTATCTGCTCTGGCGTGTATTTCTTTATACTTAACTCACAAATACGTGAGATGATGTAAATTCATCAGAAGTTTCGAGTGTAAAAAGTTTAACAACTTAACCGTTTCGATTGCGTAATAGCGTAGGTCGAGAAACAGAATGTCTCTTTAGAGTCTCCGACCAAGGTCGTAACTAGTCGTGAGGAGACCGAGGTCATATGGTCGGTTGGTGTTTGGCTTCCTCCACTCTCTCTCTCTCTCACACACAGACATTTATATATTTGGAAGTTATAGTTTAAAATATAAGTTTGACTTCAGTAGAACATTGGCTCTGGATACGGTGACGTCTCCGTCAAGTATTCTTAACTTCTTTTTTTTTCCAGTTCATGCGTGTCTAATGCAGTATGAACAGTTGTTTTTACTAAGCCTACCTTCATCCTTTGTAATAAGCTGACTAGACAATATAAATTAACTGAACATCAAACTTGTGGGTTGCTTATCGTAGAGGAAACTCTGTTAGAAAAGAACTTGATATAATTTTATTTACTCTAAAAAACAAATGTTTGTAGGACATGTCAAGCTTATCCTATACTGGGGTTATCCACTCTTCATAAGAACAGTGTTCCAGGTCCTTGAAACTACCTTTCATCAATAGTCGATCATGTTCATTACATACTATTGTCCAATACTATAAATTCCAAGTGACAAGTTTCTTCGCAGGGTGCCGAGAGTGGCCTAATATTTAGAGTGGCGGACCGTGAATCTGAGTTTTCCGTTGCCACAAAATCGCGCTTCGCACTTTTGGCCCGAGGGTGTGTTATATGAGTTACAGGCAAATTACACTATTCGATTAGAGTACCCCAAGAGTTGGCGATGGATGCTGTAGACTAGTTGCCTTCTTTGTAGTCCATCAGTTCAGAATTAGAGAAGGCTATCGTAAATATGCATTGCGTAGATTTTCGCGAATTGCTGAATCAAACAGAATTCTTGGAAGGATGGCGAGGTCAAGCTCATTCCTGGAAAACTTTTCACAGACACACACACACACACATATATTTATATCGGCACTTGTGTATAACGTTAAAATCAATACACAATCATTTCAAAATAATGACTACATGTTTCAACGTGTCACACGTCATCTCCACGAAACATGTAGAGTCATTATTTTGAAATGTTTTTATTGTGTGTGTATTGACTTTAACATAGTATATTTATTATTTTCACAGACTCTCTACTATAAATGGATGCCGGTTTTAAAAACCCCGTATACATACTCAAAAGTCACTAAGGTCTATTAGAGCTGCATAATGCAGTGACGGGCACGTGCTCGAACGGGATTGTTGTGAATCCAGTTTCTTTCTTACTAAAACAGCCGTTGATCCTCCAGGTTTTCTTACTAAAACAGCCGTTGATTCTCCAGGTGTGGATGGAACCTTCGTCATGTTCATGTTAGCAATGCCACGAGATATGTTCAGCTTCATCGTAATGGATATTTTTTTTGCAGTTGGAAGGTTCTCTTTCGTCATTATAGCTTCCATTTCACTACAAATATTCTCCATCGTAAACGGTTGCGAGATATCACCCCCCCCCCCCCCCCCACGTCAAAAATAAGTCTACAAATGGAGGCAGTGCACCACCGATTGGTTGAGAATTTACCATGAACCAGATATATAGGTCCTAAACATGTTCGCATGGGTCACATCTGCAACGACACGCTAAAGTATTAGCATACACAAATCGTGCTTACATAAAGTGCGATCAATCCTTTGTAATTCCTATGTTTCGCAGCCAGACAAATGAATATACAACATTTTAAATCCTCCAATCATTAAAACGTTCATTACACATTTGAAGATGTTTTTTTTTTTAAGTACAGGTATTTTGTACAGCAGTAGTATTTGTGATCTTAAAATGACGATGTTTTTGATAACAAATGTGCGAGTATTTTTCATTTTTGTTTTCTCAGTTACGATGTATTTGCTCAAAACCCATCAATAAATAAAACCTTTTTCATGGTACTGTCACGTTTCCAGAAAACGTCATCACTTGTGACATTGAATGTACGGTGTTTATTGTCTACTGATTTTGGTATTTTCAACCTGAACAATATCTTATGTGAAACAGACCAAACAAGAAGATCAAGGATCCCTGAAGCCGTCCCCAATTTAGATACGCTAACAACAGAGAGGGCAACCAGTCAACAGCAACTGCCGCCTATAAAGCTACTATTAACCGAACATCAGAATTGATTACTACGGCTGAAATTGTTGAGCGTATTCAGTAACATATCCTGTCTCGAGTTTTAGGCCTTACGACCCACAGCCCAGAACGTTAACCACCGGCCACGCCCAGTCTTTTTATTACTGTAAGTAAATAAGGAAACACCCAGTCAATTCGACTGAACCTGCAAAACAACGAAAATACAATTCTAAATTAATAAATATGAGTGACCATATTGTACACAACAGAAGCACAAATATAAGAAAATTTAATTTTTCTTCAATCAGTTCCTCATTATAAGGTTATTTTTTGCTGTTGGTAATTTCTCAAATCTCCATTTTGAACTAATTTCTTTCAGTCATAAAGCATTATATCCACTGATTTAATGGTAAAACGCATAGTGCACTGATTACGTTATTTTAAAGGCAATCTGTGTCAGTTTAAACTCCTGGATACTTGTTAAGTTAGTAATGAGTGTTTGGTGAATCATTGGAAAGTCGCGATGCATATTTCGATCTATTGTTCTGTCTGGCGACGTTGGCGCTGGTTGAGGAGGCGAGTCTAGCTGTTATCAGTATGACGTTTCCAAGAAGAACTTAATAGTCACAATTTTCCAGAATATTCCATGTCGGCAACAAAAGATGAATCATGTCTTCTGGAAACACGTTACCACGCAAAAAGCGGTTAATTTCAGGTTCGATGTATCTCATCTTTTGTTCACCACACACATGACACATAGGGAAATATTCGTGTTCACAATGCAGTCGCCAACCAAGATATTTATTATACCCAAGCCATAAAAAAAAAGTGTGAAAAACTTGAGTCTGAAGTTGATGTCTTACAAAAATGTATACACAGTACGAGTTAAAACTTATTACCAAACAGGCTTTGTGAGAGAAGGGTGAAAAACTTGTCAGAGTTTGATATTCCACCAATATGTATACACAATATAAACTGTAACAAAACCTTGTGAGAGAAGTGTGAAAAGTCTGATATTCTACTAAAACTCGTATTCAGTATCAATTAAAACTGTAACAAAACCTTGTGAGAGAAGTGTGAAAAGTCTGATATTCTACTAAAACTCGTATTTGGTATCTGTCAGAACTGTAACAAAGCCTTGTGAGAGAAGTGTGAAAAGTCTGATATTCTACTAAAACTCGTATTCAGTATCAGTCAGAACTGTAACAAAACCTTGTGAGAGAAGTGTAAAAAGTCTGATATTCTACTAAAACTCATATACAGTATTAATTAAAAGTGTAACAAAACCTTGTGATAGAAGTGTGAAAAGTCTGATATTCTACTAAAACTCGTATACAGTATCAGTCAAAACTGTAACAAAACTTTGTGAGAAAAGTCTGATGTTCTACCAAAACTAAAACCCTATTTCAAGTATCAGTCAAAACTAACAATGCACACATCACAGTTTTCGTACGAAGTGCATTTCTACCTGTAGGAAAAAGACAGAAAGCCTGCTGAAATTGTTCCAAGAAATACTGTAAAAAGCTAAAACATATGTCTACAATAAACAACTTCTTTCATTAGCCATTCGTCAGACTTTGCTGTTAACGTTATCTTCTACCCGTGTTCATGTTCTTGTAAATATCATTCTGGTCGTAAGACCAGTGTCAGACTTTTGGAGATTTTACTCACAGACACGTTTGTTTTTAGCTGAAATCTTGATAAATAACAAATGTATTTGGTTTGAATCCAAAAGTGTTTACTTATGATGACAACTTGGTATCTTAAGTTAGGCTTATGTTTATGGAGTAACAAAAATCGCAGAGAACAGGAAGGACTTGCCTTTAATTATTTCATATATTATTTACACGCGTTTAGTATAGTTTATATTTTTGTAATAACTTACATTATAAGTATGTTGTTGCCTTTCTGACGTTAGGGAGCATTGGCCTTTTCCACTTTGCGTGATTAGTACGTATATATAACTACAAATATTTATAATTCTCCTAAGAAATTTGTTTTTGGTGATACGCTTTTACCAACTTCATGATATTTATACCTCTCTTATCATTTTTTTTTCATTTAATAAATAAAAATATATATATTAATAAACTGAAGTTTATTATTTAACATATCTATAAATGTAAATAAAATGATGACCTATGTCTCCAGAATGTATCAGTTGTTTATTAAAAATATGACAGTTTTTAAATGAAGCGAGCGCAGGAACTCATAACACAAAGACTTACACATGTATGAAACAGATGGAAGGTTTTGAATTATATAAAATACAGCAATTAGATAATTTTTGTTTTCAACAATTCCAAGGTTACGAAAACAATGAGATTAACAATATAAATTTTGTATGCTTGATTCTATAGTTCTCAAGATTTCAGGCTTTTTTGTTTCAGGTGTAAAATTTAGAGTATATCATTACTAGCGCCACCTATTGGATCTTTTAATTACCTTTCTGCATCATAATATGTAAACAGTTAAATATAAATTTAAATCTGGTGAAGTTTCAAGATCGACACCATCACACACGACTGGAATTTTTTCTGAATGTAAAATTAAACAATTTGTGTTTCTTCTTCTTCTTCAATAAAAAAATGTAATTTAGTTTAACAAATCCAAATAAACTGTATCTTAGTAATCAGGATACATGGAACTATATACCAGTGGCTAATAAAGTTAGATAACAATAAAATCACTGACCAATCAGTGAGCAGCACAGATGCCATGTTTTTCGAAATTTTATTCTTCATGCGATAAAAAACTATTTGGTTAGTTATGAGTTATTGTTCTACTTTACAAGTTCTGTAGGAACATAAACAAAAAACAACATAAAAACTGTTTAGTGTTTATCACTTTATTTTCTGTTTTGTTTTTCTATTCAAAACGGACCAGGTGGGTAACATGATACAATGTATTTTCCGTTATTTTATTTATTCAGTTTACAACTTCATCTACACTTTTATCTAACAGGTTCATCTCAATGTCGTACTATTTCCTCTACATGCCAAGAAATGTTCCAATATCTACACCTGGTAGGCTATAATAGTTCCTTTTCCAATGCATTCTCCAATGAAAAAACAGAAGCTAATTTCCAGTGCTATCAAAGTATTCAGCCAGGCCTCCTGTCAATGGAGCAAAACGTATGTTAATGAAACAAATCAAGTATTTTCTTACTACTATATTACATTTTTGTCATCTGTTTGCAGTGTCAAATTCTAAAAATATAACCTAAATGTTCTTATTATACCTAAACTGAATAGTAAACTATTAACTAGAACTTACTTGAGAGAATTTTCAATTACGATCGATTCATTAAAAACTATTTGAATCACATGACAAACTTTAAATGACTTACAATTCACAGGGCTTATTAAAGATAATATACAATCCCCATCAAACTACAAAAAAGTTCAGACAATTATAACTATAATGTACTATAACTTCTTTTTGATACAAATAACATCTGAAACACCAGTTACAAGCAAAATTATGCTTTTTCTTCTAATGTCCTACATTAATATTGTTAGAATAGTCTAATAACTCATGCTCCATCATTTTACAGGAAAATATTCTCTGTAATCAAATTTTAAAGTTGTTTTTTTTAAACTATTCAGTAATAGCAAAAACATGAGATTTTATTTATTTCATGATTGGAGTAAATAATTAATCTTAAGTGAGGCTACATGAACTTCTGATTTAATGAAGTTAAATCTGTGTAAAGAAAATAAATAGGAAAAAGTATTTTATAAATAACAAATATATTAAGATCAATTATGGAATGTTACAACATACACAAGAAGAAATATGCCCAACCACATTTTAAGACAAATAAAATAGGGTTACGTGTAGAGTACTGTATTTAATATCAAACAACTTATGGGTTATGTAAATGTGTGGTGTATTATGCACTTTCTGACCTATTATACCTCTTTTAGTATACTCTGAAAAATTTATTTTTGGGATAATTTCTACATTGTAACTTTCACTTTAAACATCACTTTATTTATTTAATTTTTGGTTTGCTTGCAATTTTGTGCAAAGCTACTCGAGGGCTATCTGCACTAGATGTCCCTGGCAGCTAGTCAACACCACCCACTGCCAAACTCTTGAGCTACTCTTATACCAACAAACAGTGGAATTAACAATCACATTATAACACGCCCATGGTCGAAATGATGAGCGTATTTGGTGATCGGGGTTCAAACCCACAACCTGCAGATCGAGAATCAAGCACCCTATTGACTTGGCCATGCCAGGCCCTACTCGTTAGAGAAACATATTTATACACAGAGTTGTATTATCTAGTCCAGTTTTCCTTTAGAGTATGTAACTTTATTTGCTTCAAATATTCATTAGCTGAAAATACCATTAATGAATCCTCTTAAATCAGAATTTACGACAAAAAACAAACAAACAACAGTACAGTGTTTTAATTTACTATAGATACTAAATCACCAAATGTGAATTCTATTAATTCAGTTTGAATGGAAAGAAAACTATCTTAAATGCAAATGGAAACAGTTATGTAGAATACAAACCTTTTCTTTTCCTTACCTGTAACTCCCAGACTTGTCAAAAAAAATCGTGTTCAAAACTAAATATAACTGAAAGTATTTGCTATAAATCTGAACCTTTGAAGTAACATGTTAATAAATTTAATATCATTACATTCAGGAATTTAGTTCTAACTGCTAGATAACTATTACAACTTATTCTAAAAACTAAACTCAATTTAATTTTACAGTTAATACTCAAAGAATTTAAAAGTTTCTTAGATGACAAGATTTAGTAGGCTCCGTAACACTCGTAAAACACTGCCATGTTTTATAAGTTAACATTTAATCAGGATGGATCTTAGATTCTTGTATACTGATTTTAACAATTTTTGTACTTTTAGTACATAGAACTAGTTTTATTAATTCATAAGTTACTTTACAGTTCTGACCAATCTACTTGAATTATTCTTGATCATAACTTATTAATCATAAGATCTAATGTCTTAATCTCTTGGTTATTAGTTGAGTCATAATTAAATTTGTCATAAATTGTCAAAATGTTAAAAAAAAACAAATACATAGACTACTTGCAATGATACAACTTCAAATCTTACTTGACTGAGTACCTTCTTGTGGTTTTAGGTTAACAATTTTTGTCATCTGATTGTTATCTAAGAAAACAAAGTTTCATTAAATTATCAATAAAAAAACAAACTGAGATTACAAAAGAATAAGTTCTCAGTAAATTACTCACTCTAACAGGAATATTTTTCCAACTTCCAGTTCTAGCAGAGTTCATTAGTTTGTTAAACCCTTGGACAACTTGAGGGAACTCTGAAGGTTTAGGAGGAGCCAATTCAACTCTTGCATACTTTAGGAAAGTGTTCAGCTTTGGACGAGATGAATCTAAAAATCCTACAATAAGTGTATTAATAGTTTTTAAATGACTGATATTATTAAATATTCCACAGTTTTCTAAGTAATCTTCAGTCTCCCAGAGCCTGCTTAATTCTAGATGCCAGGTTGCTATGATGTCCAAAAAAAAGGTGACCTGGCATATGGTAATTTTTGAATTTTTCAATACAAATGGTGTGCTTTTTCATATATATACATAGTAATATTTGTGATAAATTTAAACGTAATAAAGATAAAGAACTTGAAATGTTTTTTAGAGCATGCTCGCTTCAGTTTATTGACAAGAAACATACCTATATCTATTTTTGAGCAACATATTCTTTAATTATCAAACTTTAAGAACACCATTTAATCACTTAAAGTAAGTTCAAACATGCATAATTTACATACTACTAAGTTTAGTTTCATTTAACTCATTATGCTTGGCAACATGGCTCTCACTTGAAGCCGTTGCTCAGTAATGACCTTCCACGTTCAACGAAACGTTGAATACCTTAAAGTACACATACTCGTGTTTAGACATCATGTTACGATGACTGACAATGAAATGTTCTCTTTGTTACTTTCAAAATTCTTCAACTAGCCAAATACTTTCTTTGTAATTATTGATCAAGATGGAAGATTTCAAACGTTTAAAATACACACAATGTTGTGCAAATGGTGCAATACCCAGAAATAATGTGCTGTTTACAGAATATTTGAAAGATCAGGGATTATTTTACTTTGAGATAGTATTAACTTATTAAAACTTGTTGCCTATGGAAGGTTTGCTTGGAAAAGTAAGGTTTAGTTTATACTGTGGATAATATTAACATATTAAATGTAAATAATGATATATATGATTCAAAAACAGTTTAGAAGTTCAACAACACTGTCATATTACTGTGAAACAGACAAACGAACACTTTAAAATCTTTACATCATTTAGTTTAGTTAATTTGAATTTTGGCGATTCGTATCAAGAATGCATACTTGACGTACATAATATACCATGTATTTTAAAGAACTATAACTCTACGAAGAACTAATAAACATTATTATGAAAAGGATTAGGCATAACATATATAAATCAACTACAGGTACAATTTCACTAGTACATTTCAATGTAAAGTATTCAGGCAATTAGAAACAAGAAATTCAGGCTAAAACCCATAGGCTTTATGAGAAGTAAATATAAGGAAAAACAACACAGATTTGCAAAATTAATATATATATATATGAAATTAAAGAAACTGAAAGTAACTTCATTCTTGATTTGACCGAATGCAAGAAAAACATCCTCTATTTTTACGAGGGTGCACAGTGCAATAATGTCTAACACAAAAAAGCAAACAAAAATCCTACATCCCTACCCAAATTTTTTCCTAGCAATGTTACTTTGCATTGACAACATGCAATAAGAAATTTATAGATCTGGCACTTGGCCAATTCAAAATAATAAAGTATTGGTTCAGTTTGCACTAGAATACTGGGTTTAAAATAATGAATATTAAAGTTAGGATGGCCTTCTGTGATCTTACAACAACACAAATGCATTAAAATCCAATAGTACACAATGAATATTTAAAAATAAGAATGTTCCCAGTTTCAAAGAAAGATAGTTTTACTTTATAACTTACTGTATACATATAAATTACCATGAAACTCAGTTGAGTGTATGACAGTTCCCAGTCTAATGATATTGTACATATGTAAAATCAGGGCTCATGCTTAACTTTTCTTTTTTAGAGGGCCAGCAGAGCCCCCAAACATGCATTTTTAGGGGCTAATCCTATAATTCATTGTAAAATGTATTTTGTAGTGGAGGTTATCAGGAAAATCACTGAATTAAATAGTGGATGATAAATAAGTTGAAAGGAAACTAAAGATATCAACGTGTCTCAATTTATTTTGTTGTGAACTCAGATTTCATGAAAAAACACAAGTCAAAACATTTTTTATTTTTTTCAAATCACTTAAATTATTTTTATTTCATACATGATATTTAATTTCTCTCTAAAATATGGTATAACAGTAACTTTTTGTTCCCCTTTAAAGTAGTGTCCTTTAATAATCAAAATAATTGGTATTGCAAAAGGATTTTGTACTTATGAATAACACCGAGAGTCTACCCGTGACAGACCAATGATGTCGAAAGATATTCTGTCAAAGTCACAGAGAACATGGCATAAAAAATACCCAAACCACACAAAAATTGTCCAAAGTTAAATTTCTTAAATGAAGAGAACCAAATGTTGATGATTTGAGAAAGAATGCAATAGAAAAAAAAGGCAACAGCATCATGAGTATGAAAAGGAAAAGTACTTACAGGGATGAGTTGGATAATAACTGGTTACACTAAGAAGACAGTGGCAAAATATTCTGTAAACTATGTCGAGAAGAGAAGGTGAATCTGAAAACTATTACTGGGCAATTAGCATGAACAGCCCCCCAAATTATAAATTACTATATTGATACCATAGAATTCCACTATCATTTATCAAGCTTAGTGACTAAGCTGTATTTGGATCTAAAAAAATTATGAAATTTCGAGCAGACTAAAGACAACCTACCTCCTTGAATTCTTTGTTTGAAAGAATGAGATGGTGTTCTGACACAAGAAAATGGCTGAGAAATCCACTAGGGGACATTGTGAGCTTTTAATTGGTTATTCACATGTCATATATTGAAGTGTATATAAGGGACAGTTTCTAAAAATGGAAAGAGGAGAGTGGGGCCACTGTTTGATTCAGTACGTGAGTGATATCTCAGCAAATAGAAAAAATATGAGGTTCTTATATTACATTCTAGCTTGTCAATATCAGTAATTTGAGTTCCTAATTCATAAGAAACTACAGACTTAGTATTTTGACATCACAAACATCTAATTTGAACCAGTGCTGCATTCAACATACCACATGACATAAGAAAATCAATGTTTAACTGTGTTTTGTTAATATTTATTTTTAAATTAAGAAATTAAATAATGTATAATATTAAAATTTGAATTATAATCTAAAGTTTGATACCAAACTTATTGACAAAAATTCATGAAATATTAGTTTAATAAAATTTATAATGCGAGTCAATAAACGCTATGATATGACCTTTGACCCATGACCTGTCTGTAGAGGATTAAGGGACAGGCATCATGGATTTAATAACAGCTCTTGCACTGAAACATTTTATCTTTCTAGCGTGAAGGCCTATAAATCACACAAGGCTTGGGCAACCATCAACAAAAAAAACATAGAAAATTGTTACATTTACATCTGCCAAGGTAAACATTTATATATATATATTGTAGTTATACATATAAATACTTCGTTTCATACACAGAGGCCCATCTGATGAGGTAGATAACACAAACCAGATACTAGTTTACATATCTTTAATTTTGTAAAATATTTCATGTTTTCATATCTTTATAAAATATATTTTATATAATATAAATATACAAAGGTATATACAAAATATAGGCATATAATACTAGCTTATAATTATAAATCATGCTGCTACTAATGGTGAGTAGGTTTTGATTAACAATAATAGTAACACTCAGTTTTCTACGTGTATATTCAGATGTATGAAATCGAAGAGATTTCACATAATATAGAAGAAGTTAGAATACTTTTTTTTAAACTACTCAGAAGATAATATAAATAATAAAATTAAAGATTAAAATTACACTGACTACTGCTTACTGGCAATAATTTGATGAATAAAACGTTTGATTCTTCGAAATTTCACATTTGTGTTCATTTAAATAATGCTTAGGGAAAATCCTACACTTGTGTCTGTAGCTTATCGTGTTCTACTTCTAGTAGTAATACTAATAGAACTTCTAATACTATTGGTATTAGAAGTGTTGAATAGATTACACCTTTTTTTTACAGCTTAGTATTGCTAAGCCTACAAATATACAAACAGCTAGAGTAGAGGTCAATTAAAGGTGACTGGAATAGCAAAAATAAGAACCACTAAACTATCAAAAAAGTATTTCAATTTCTACTTGAAAATAATAAGCTATGATTGTTATCTTTTGGCTTTTCATTTTACCTTTTGCTAGCGTGGGAGCTTTAGAAACTAAAGATGTAATTGCTTTAGACATTTTTTCTTCGCCAAAGTACACCCTACACAGCCTGAGCTTTGAGATGTTTGTCCCTCTAGTGTCAACAGAAAGTATAATATATATATATATATATTGATATATTACATTAAAAAACAATATATCTTAATTAAATATAAGAAAAAATTATGTTTTTAAAATTCACACAAGTTTTTTTTATCGGTTATACATAGTGAATGTTATATTTTATTCACAACTGAATTTATACGATTACTTAACGCCTACATTTCGATTGAATTAGTACGTAAAAAAAATAAGCGTCGTTTGTATGTTCACTTATAAAAAAGCACTCAGGGCCATTCCTCTTGTCATTATATTATCCCGCATATATATGGTTTACAGCAAAAAGAAAAAAATATTTTCTTTCTTCTCAATGTTACACTGTGCACTAAAAATAAGGAAACCCAGTTTTTAGCCACTGAAAGACAAGGGGGAGTTTCTGGAAGAGAGAGTTTGGCACGAGGAATTGTGCAATAGTTACTATTCTTTGTTTGTTTGTAATTAAGCAGAAAGATACACAAGGAGCTATCTGTGCTATGTCCACCATGGGTATCGAAACCTGATTTCTAGGTTATAAGTCTGCAGACTTACTGCTGTGGTACTGGGGGAGGGGGACAATAATTACTATTCATTAATGAGAACTTGTTTAACTAAGAACGTAAACAAACCAAAAGGTTAGATTACCTGCGTTCAAAGCTTTTGCACTCCAACAGATCATAACTGCTTATTTTATATTTATGTTGATCTTCTCTTAGTTATATTTTGTTATGAAATGTTTATCATTAAAAATGTTTAATCAGGAAACATTTTTCTGTATCTTGTTTTCATATGTATTTTTTAATGATGTAATTAACATAACTGATGATAATAGGAATGATTTACAAGTATCAAATCGACAATCGAGTCAAACTGCAAAAGTAATCATTGGTCAGCACTAATCGTAAATTTTAAGGTATAGAGTTGTTGTTAGAACGTAAGCACAAAGCTACACAATGGGCTATCTGTGCTCTGCCCACCACGGGTATAAAAACCCGGATTCTAGCGTTGTAACTCTGCAGACATACCGCTGTGCCACTGCGAAGCAAGGTATGGAGAGATCACAGACTTTTTTAACGAAGATATCATTATTCTGATAGAGGTTATTTACTTGAAGTGGACTGAAGCATTAATAAGTTAATGTCGGGTATTTGAAACTTGGGGTAAACATTGAAAAACATATGTAACTGTGATAAATGGATGTAAGAGTAGTCTAATTTTGAAAATCTTTCGCAAACTGCTCTTGAAATTATATTGACATATATTTTATCTCTGTGAAAACGTGTAAACATTTTTATCAGAGTACAAAATATTAAAACTCCAATAAATAAGTCTAAAATTGTACACAAATTTTATTAATTTATATTAAACTGCTGACGATCTCTACTTGGAGTTTTTATTTATTTGTTATTGTTTTAGTATACAGCTATATAATAAGCTATCTGCGTTCTATCAATCGGGGAGAATCGAACCTCGGATTTTTGAGAGAAGAATTCATGATAAAGATAAAAGAGAATTAAAACTGTGTCCTGAGCCCAGATACAAGGTTTACTTGGGCCTTTGCTATGTCTCTCAAATTACCCTTAAATCGAGATCAAACTTAACAAATATTTACCATAACTATTAATCATTTTCCTCTGAAGGATGTTCACCTTTGGATCAATGTCAAGAAATGGATTTTCTTAGCCTAAGCCAGTCTACGCTCTCTATGAATGAAATATACCAATTTAGAATGGAATCCACGAAAAGTAAAGAGGAACAAGTTTAGAGATCTTAACCTATTCTCATGTGATAACATTTCCTTCCTAGATATCATTCTTGTAGCCCTTCTCTGAACCCTTTCCAACAATGCAATATACTTCCTGAGGTAAGGAGCCCAAGACTGAATACAACACTCCAAAAGTGGCCTAACCAATGACCTATACAATAACATTATAACCTTATTAGTTTTGTCTGTTATAAACCACAAAGGTATACAAAGAGCCATCTGTGCTCTGCCAACCACAGGACACTTTAGACTTGATTCAGTATTTCTGTAGATACAATCTAAAATCCTATTTGCCCTGCCACTAGTAGCAGCACATTGCTTGGATGGCTAAGATGCTGATGAACCAGAACATCAAGATATTTTTCTTCCATAACATTGCTAAAGTTATTCCAATCAAAAATATATTCATTGTGATATCACACAGGCATTTATTATAATTAAAAGTCATCTGCCATTTATTTACCCAACTCTCTAAATATTCCAAATCATTTTGTAAAGCAGTAGCATCCTCATCATAGCCAGCAACACCCAAAATTTAATGTCATCAGCAAATTTGAATAATTTATTGGCCATTCCTTCATCTATGTCATTAAAAAAAAGAGCATAGGTCCTAACACTGAGCCCTTAGGTACCCCATTCGTGACATGAAACCAGTTTGACTGAACTCCATTTATAACAACTGTTACATCTTACATGCTTTCTTACATCCAAGGAGGCAACCTATCCCCCACACCTACAGAAATAACTTTTTAGCAAGTCTTTTATGTGGCACCTTGTTAAATGCTTTCTAAAATTCAGATACATCACATCCACACTTATACTCTCATCGTCACAACAGTAGCTTCTTCAGAGAATGGCAAAAGCTTAGTAAAGCAAGATTTTCTCCTGATGAAACCATGCTAATTACCCAACAAAATTTTAAACTTTGTTAAATAGCTTGTCAAAGCATCTTTTATTAGACTTTTCAAATATATTTTCCATCACTGAAGAGTGATTGTAGGCCTATTATTATTGGGGAAATGTTATCACCTCCCTTGAAAAGAGGACTAACATCAGCCAACTTCCAATCTTCTGGTATCTGCCCACAATTCAAGGATTTAGGACAAATAGAGCAAGTGGCTCACATATCCAATTCTTAACGTCTTTCAAAACTCTTGGATAAGTAGCATATGACGGCCCAGGTGCTTTATCATTCTTTACATTTCCCAGTTGTACTTAACAAGATCAAAATTAATGTGATCATCTTGTTCAACCTTGTTTCCATCTAATAACTGTTCAGGCTGATGAATATTGCTTAAATCTTCATTAGTGAAAGCTGAAGAAAAAGTAGAATTTAATAACTCAGCTATGCCATAATCATCAGATGTTAGCCTTCCTGTTTCATCCCTCAAAGGCTCTACTACCTTCCTGACATCTTGCTTACCCTTAATGTATGTGAAGAAATTCTTATTATTTATGTTTACATTTTCAGCCAAACTTTTTCCATATAGTTTTTGATTGCCTAATTTCCGTTTGACCAAACCTCTTGATTTTCTATAATCCTCCAAAATCTCCCATCAATGCAGTGAATTTCAACTTCTTATATTTATAATGCTTTTCTATAATTTTATACTTTATATCCTTTGTGAGCCAACCTGGTTTTTTTACTTGAGCCACCCTTTTTTGTATACATACTTATTTTGAGTGTTTAATAACCTATCTTTAAAATTTTCTACATTTCACCAGTATCTCCAATTAATTCAGTTGTCCAATTCACAGAAAATAATTCTTATTTCATATCTTCAAAATTTGTTTTTGAAATTTTTAACCCAAATCTCATTATTCCTTATCTACATATGAAGCAAAACATCAAATTTAATTGAGCAAGGATAACTTGCACCCAGATGTTCCCCAATCTCTACCCTATCAAACACTTCTTTATTAGAAGTTAACAATAAATGTAAAACACCATTGTTCCTAGTAGGTTATCAAACCAATTGCTGAAGAAATCTATCCCGAATAGTTTCTAAAAACGTGTCTCCCTTATGATTTGACTCTAATTTTCCCATTCTATGTAGAGTTTCACAATATTTTCCCCAGTTTCATCTGATGATCTATTAAAAAATTCTGACTAAAATCCTTCTCCCATTATAACTACTAACCGAAACCCAAATAGATTCAACCTCATTGGTATTAGCTTTGATATCTACAACTTGAACAGGCTGTAACTCCCATTTTACATATAAAGCCAGTGGTACAGCGGTATGTCTGTGGTGGGCAGAGCACAGATAGCCCATTTTGTAGCTTTGTGCTTAGCTACAAACAACTACAACATACAGCCACTCCTCCCCTTTTTAGTTCTCTATCTTTATTAACCAACCTGTAGCCCTCTATATTAAAGAAGTTTCTTTCATCATAATATATATATATATATATACATTTAGCAAGATTCCAGTTATTACCATTATATCAAAACACCCTTTTCCAATCACTGCAACCCGTCATGGGCTGATAGTTAGGGCGCGCGACTCCTAATCTATGGGTCGCGGGTTCGAATCTCCATTACTGATCATGCATGTTTTTTCAGCCGGTTAGTTCCACTATTCGTTCGTAAGACATTAGTCCAAGAGTCTATTACTCTAGTCTATCACTGCTATATAAGGGACAGCTAACGCAGATAGCCCTCGAGTAGCATTGCTCGAAATTAAAAATCTAAAAATCAGTGTAAAAACATAAACACACTTAATCATATTTTTTTCAAAACAGATCTCCCGGTGGTTTGTAAGCGGTAAGTTTATGGACTTACAATGCTCAAATCTGGGATTCGATTCCCCGCGATGGACACAACATATAGTAGATAGTCCAGAGTGGTGTTATTCTGAAACAAATTATCAAAACAGAGCCTTTCAGTACCCCTCTGAGGGCTTATAAGAATAAAAGTCGGATTTAGATACCCAGGCACAAATAGCCCATCTATAGATTTATGTTTAACAACAAACAAATGAAGCTAAAGCTGTAAAGTGTTAGTAATTAAATCGACAAAATAGTCGTTTCAAAAACGTCTTCATACCTATAATTTAGTTCGACATTTAAAAACACTTCAAAATCTTAATTCTCGAACATTTTTGATTTTCTTCACTTTTAATGGAAATAGTTCGTCGCATAAATTAGAAGATGATATTGTTTTTATAAACTGCCAATTGCCTTTAAAAAAGCAAAGTGTAACACTATTGGTGGTGTTTGTGATGTATGC